CAGAGAGACAAACTGAGATCTCTGCTGTCAGGTCATTCCCCAAATGCCTGCAAGAGCCAGGATGAAGCCAAGGGTTAAGAAGATAATCTGGGTCTACTAATTTTAAGAGATGGGAAGATCATACTGTGATTCCTAAGCTATATGGTCATGGAAGACTTTTTCCATAGAATATCTAACAGAACTAGTGTTTCAAAAAATGCAATTTGAGGGGCGGATGCCGTGGCTCACTTGGTTAATCCTCCACCTGCGGCGCCAGCATCCCATTTGGACACTGGGTTCTAGTCTCGGGAGCCCCTCTTCCAGTCCAGCTCTCTGCTGTGGCCCGGGAGTGCAGTGGAAGATGGCCCAAGTGCTTGGGTGCCTGCACCCGCATTGGAGACCAGGAGGAAGCACCTGGCTTCTGGCTTCGGATCAGCACAGCGCCAGCCGTAGCGGCCACTGGGGAGTGAACCAACAGGAGGAAGACCTTTCTCTCTGTCTCTCTCTCTCTCTCTCACTGAATATAACTGTACCAGTCAAATAAATTTAAAAAAGAAAAAGAAAAAAAAATGCATTTTGAAAAATACCATCTTCTGTGTGTATATTAAAGAAACCAGGAATAAATTAAGGTCTTGGAAAATATCATTCCATATGAAAACAAGGCCCCAACCATCTCTCATACTTTAACCTATACTTTTATAAATCATTCCGAAATCCTCAAGCAAGAGGCCACTAGAATATAAGGCCATTTTATTTCATTTTATTTGAGGAAGCAGTTACTTCTCTGCAAAGCATACTGCCCTTGTATCTCATTCAGTCTTTCAAAAATATCTATTGAGAATCTATTGTTTTCCAACAATTAAAAAAAGAGTTAGCCTAGCAGTTAAAATGACAATTAAGATACTCATGTTCCACATCAAAGTACCTGGATTTGATACCTGGCTCTGGCTCCTGATTCCTACTTCCTGCTAATGTTGACCCTCGGAGGCAGTGATGACAGCCAAAGTACTTGGGTCTCAGTCACCCACATGGGAGACCTAGAGTGAGTTCCTGGCTCCTGGCGTTGGCCTGGCCTAGCCTCAGCTGTTGCAGGCACTTAGGGAGTGAACCAGCAGACAGAGGTTCTTCTGCCTATTTGTCTATGTCTCTCTGATTCTCAAATTTAGAAGAGAGTTTTTGTTCTTAAAAAATCTAGCATCTATCAGGAAAAAAAGGCAAATAAATAGGCGATCAAAGGAGCCAGCACTGTGGTGTAGCATGGGTAAAGCCACTGCCTGTAGTGCCGGCATCCCATATGGGAGCCGGTTCAAGTCCCTGCTGCTCCACTTCCGATCCAGCTCCCTGCTAATGTGCCTGGGAAAGCAGCAGATAATGGCCCAAGTGCTTGGGCCCCTGCATCCTAGTGGGAGACCTGGAAGAAGCTCCTGGCTCCTGGCTTCAGATCAGCATAGCTCCAGCCATTGCAGCCATCTGGGGAGTGAACCAGCAGATGGAAGACCTCTCTCTCTCTCTACCCCTCTCTGTAAATCTATATTTCAAATAAATAAAATAAATCTTATTTTAAAATAAGGGATTACAAAGCAGTGTGATTAAGGGCAACAGAATGCTATAGGAAAAACAGAGACTATCCTATCTTGGGAATCAGAACGAGTTTTCCAGAAGGGTATAAAATCTCAGCTGATACCTAAGGAAGAATTACCAGAGCAAAGGGAATGGGAGAGAAGACTAAGCAGAGCAGACAGCATGTACAAAGGACCTTCTAGCCATCCACATGCAGAAATTAAGCAAGATGGGGTAGAGAGAGCTTGAGTGTTAAGAGGTAAAGCTAGAGAGGTAAGGAGGATCCATAAAGATTCATTCTGAAACCAAAGTGTAATTACTGATGGCTATCAAACAAAATATTACAATGATCAGATTGACACATTATAAAGACTACTCTGGCCACAGTGTAGTAAATGGATCAGAGTAAGGAAGTATTAAAAGTAGCAAAGGGGGCAGGAGCTGTGGCACAGCAAGCTAAGCTGTCACTTTCAAAACTGGCGTCCTTTATCAGAGCACCAGTTTGAGTCCCAGCTGCTCTGTTTCCAATCCAGCTCCCTGCTAATGCGCCTGCGCGCCTGCCAGGGCAGTGGATGATGGTCCAAAGCTTGGGCACCTGTCATTCCTATGGGAGACCAGTATGGAGGTCCTAGCTCTGGTTTCAGCCTGACACAGCCCACCATTTGGGGAGTGAATGAGTGGCTGGAAGATCTCTCTCTCTCTCCCTCCTTTCTCTCTCCCTCTTCCCCCTCCGCCCCCACACTCTGCCTTTAAAATAAATAGGCGCTGGTGGTGTGGCATAGTGGACTAAGCCCCTGCTTGGGGCGCCAGAAACCCATATGGGTGCTGGTTCAAGTCCTGGCTGCTCCTCTTCCAATCCAGCTCTCTGCTATGGCCTGGGAAAGCAGTAAATGATGGCCAAAGTGCTGGGCCCCTGCACCCCTGCAGGAGACCGGGAAGCTGCTCCTGGCTTCAGATTGGCTCTGCTCCGGCCATTGCAGCCATCTGGGGGGTGAACCAGAAGATGGAAGATCTTTCTGTCTCTCCCTCTCTATAACTCTACCTCTCTGTAACTCTATCTCTCAAATAAATAAAATCTATAAAATAAATATTTTTTAAGTAGCAGAAAAACTAAGAGACTTTAAGGATGGCCCAAACCCTTTCTGTTTAGGTGGTTAACAGGCAGCGGCAGCAGCAGCAGCACCTGGAAGTCGGCTGGAAATGAAGAGCTCATGCTTCTGCCGGAACTTCTGAATTAGAATCTAAATTTATGAGGTCCCCAGATGAGTCACTGGTACCATTGAGTTTGAAAAGCATTACCCTAAAATGCATAGATGCAAAAATAGAGAGGTGAATGGGTTTTCAAAAATATATTTTGAGGAACCTTATTAGTATTTAGCAGTCATTGATGGGATTAGGCTGAGGGAAAGGGAGAACGCAAGCTTTGAGCAACTAGCCTGACAGGAAACATGCCATTGCCTAAAGGAATGGACATGGCTAGCAGGGACACAATGAAAGAGCTGAGTCCACTTTTGTATATAGTGATTTTCAAGTTCCCTTAGACATAAGGCTTTCTAGGGCACCACTGCTACTACGACTCAGGAGTTCAGGAAAGAGATCTGGAGTCATTAAAATGTGCGGGATTAGATCACTCTAAACTGCACTTCCCAGAATGGTAGTCTCTGGTCTCATGTGGTTATTGAAGACATGAAACAGAATTACTGCAACTGAGGAACTAAATTCTTTAATTTTGTTACCTAAATTTAAAGCAATATGCAATATTTTTCCATTGTTGTCTTACTGCATTTCATTGTTTTTTTAAAGATTTGAGAGGCAGAGGCAGAGGCAGAGGCAGAGAGAGAGAGAGAGAGAGAGGGCTTCCATCCGTTGGTTCACTCCCCAATTGGCCACAACGGCTGGAGCTGTGCCCATCTGAAGCCAGGAGTCAGGAGGTTCTTCCTGGTCTCTCATGTGGGTGCAGGGGCCCAAGGACTGGGACCATCTTCTACTGCTTTCCCAGGCCATAGCAGAGAGCTGGATCAGAAGTGGAGCAGCCGAGACTCCAAGCAGCGCCCATATGGGATGCTGGCACTGAAGGCAGAGGCTTTACCCACTACGCCACAGTACAGTCCCCATGCATTTCATTTTAATGTTTGAAAATCTGGTATCCAAATTGAGGTGTGCTCTAAGTATAAGATACACACAAGGCCCAGTGTTGTAGTGCAGTGGGTTAAGCCACCACCTATAATACCAGCATCCTATACAGGTTCGTTTGGATCCTGGCTGTTCCACTGCTGATTCAGCTCTGTGGTAATTCGCCTGGGAAAGCAACAGAAAATGACTCAAGTGCTTGGGCCCCTTCCCTACATGGGAGACCCAGATTAGACTTCAGGCTCCTGGTTTCCGCCTGGCCCAGTGCAGCCTGTGGCAGGCAGCCATTTGGTAAGTGAATCAGTGGATGGAAGAGCTCTCTTGCTATCTCTTGTTTTCTAACTTTGCCTTTCAAATAAATAAATAAAGCTTTTTTAAAAAAAAAATAAGATACAGATTTTGAAGACTTTGTAAAAAAATGTAGAATGTTTCATTGATTCTATTACTGATTACATGTTGCAGTAATATTACACATATGTTGGGTTAAAATGTATTAAAATTAAATTCAGCTTTTTAAAACTTTTGAAACTATGAGACAATTGTAAACCATATGCATGGCTGACATTCTTCTATTAAAAACCATATGCATGGCCGGTGTCGCGGCTCACTAGGCTAACCCTCTGCCTTGCGGCGCCGGCACACCGGATTCTGTCCCGGTTGCTCCTCTTCCAGGCCAGCTCTCTGCTGTGGCCAGGGAGTGCAGTGGAGGATGGCCCAAGTGCTTGGGCCCTGCACCCCATGGGAGACCAGGATAAATACCTGGCTCTTGCCATCGGATCAGCGCGGGGCGCCGGCCGCAGTGCGCTGGCCGCGGCGGCCATTGGAGGGTAAACCAACGGCAAAGGAAGACCTTTCTCTCTGTCTCTCTCACTGTCCACTCTGCCTGTCAAAAAAAAAAAAAGTGGGTGAAATAACTGGACCCAAACCTGTATTTCCCTATGGGTTGTGGACTCCCAAGCTACAACACATGGTATCTTCTTAATGTAATTAATTACTCATCAGCAGAAATGCTTGAACCTGGAACATATCCAACTAGAAAACACTAGTTCCAGATTTCAAATACATCTTTAATAGGTTCTATTCATCATTACATTCTGGTTCTTCTTGTACTTTACCATCAAAATGCAATACTTGAATTGAAAATTATTTTATCTATGACTTCATATTGAAATACTTGAAGAACTGACAGTTTATCCTGTTGAGAGGAGGTATCCTCTTAACTCCATAGTTGTAAAACATTTCCATCTCAGACTTAAAATCACCAGTTAAATGAACAAGGACTTTTTCATTTCTGCACATTGTTTTTCCATTACTTTTGTTCACACATCTGCTTTCAGCATTTGTCCATTTTATTTAAAAAACTGTAAGTCATATACAATTCGCCCATTTGAAGTGTACAATGTTTATTCAGTGTTGTGCATCATTACAATCTAATTTCAGAACATTTTCATCCTCCCTGAAAGAAGCCTTAGACCCATTAGTAGATAATCCCTACCTTTCAATCCTCACAAGCATTAAGCATCCATTAATCTAGTTTAGTCTCTGCCATTTGCCTATTTGGGATATTTATACAAATAGAATCATGAAAATGTGTGGTCTTTTGTAATTGGCTTCTTTCACTTAGCGTAACGTTTTCAAGATTCATCCATGTCATAGCACGAATCAGTACTTCGTCCCTTTCTATTGCTGATATTAGTATGATTACACCACTATTATCTACACGTCAGTTGACAGACCTTTGGGCGGTTTCCATTTTCTTGATGATTATGAATGATATAAACATACATGTACAAATGTTTGTGGTTTTGTATATGCCTTATTTCTCTTAGGTTTTGTCTGAGTTTGAGCTACTGTAATAAAGTACCATAGTTTGCAGCACAGCAAATGATATTTCCAGTATTTTCTACAATACACTATACCCATCTCAACACTTAGCTTTCACCTGCCTCCTATACAATTATCCTGTGTATATAGAATAAGTTTAAGAAACGTTTTTTTAGGTATTTAAAACCCCTTTCCTTTTCAGTGTACACTTCTCTGAGAAGGATAACCAGACTTCCAAAGTGAGGCAGGGATAGGCTATGCAGGAGAGCTAGCCATAGCTAGCTCTTAATATATAATATACATGATACTATTCCAACAGCAAGAATAATACAACTAGAAAAGGTGATCCAATGCTTGACTTTCATCATCTGTTTTAGAAACCCACTAGACAGGTTTAACTTCGCCATCCCGGGTTGTCATGAACACACAGTCTTTGCTTCCCCTTAGCAAGTCAAGAGGTGCTTTAAGTTAACACTATTATTCCTCTACAAAAATCACTGGACAGGTAGAACAGATTCGGACTTGGCTAAAAGAAGAGGTTACCTAACTCTGTAGAATAGACCCACCTGGATTTTGGGACATGTATTTCAGGCATGGGTTTGGCAATCTGGACTCCTGGGTATAAGTTTTAATACAAAAATATTTTAATTCTGATAATTATAATACAATTGGTTGATGCTTTCTTTTTAATTTTTAAAGATTTATTTATTTATTTGAAAGGTAGAATTACAGAGAGGAAGAGAAAGAGAGATCTTCTATCCACTGGTTCACTTCCCCAAAGGGCTACAACATGGGGCGTGGGACCAGGCAGAAGTCAGGAGCCAGGAGTTTCTTCCGGGTCTCCCATGTGTGTGCAGAAGCTTCACTGCTTTACCAGGCACATTAGCAGGGAGCTGGATCGGAAGCAGAGGAATCAGCCAGGACACAAAGTGGCACCCAAATGGGATGCCAGCATCACAGGTAGTGGCTTAACCTGCTGCACCACAACAGCCCTGGTTGATGCTTTCTATCAAGAGTATTAGATGTTGTGTAGCCATTGTCAAGTCACATAATTCAATAATGATCATCCATTAAGAAGACCTGAAGCTAATCACTACCATTGAAAAACTGACACATAATCATAATCTAGTGAATAGCAATACAAATCTGGATTAATCACAATTCCAGAAGATAACAATCTATCCTTCGACAAAGGACTGAGCACAACCTGCAAAATGCTTAAATCTAACCAAACTTTGACAATGCAAGAAACTACCTAAGCTCAAACTCTCAACATTAGCTCAACTAGATCCATGTTTCAAAGCAAACCACTAACTGACTTAACAAGTAACTCTGCACAGGCTTATATGTTCTAAAAGCACTTCACCAGCAACCTCTAGTTCCCAAATTTTCACCAGTATCTACCGAGGCAATCTAAAACTAACTACAGGCCCCAAACTCCTATACTTGCATGTACCCTTCCCTTTGGGGATACTTCATTGTTCCTCTGGTGTACACACTCCCTTGGTTCAGCAGCAGGCTAATAAACCTAGCTTTGATTACAGGTGAAATCCTGTTGGTCTCTGGCCAGCGGGCTTCACCAGTACAAATCAGTCAAAAAACTACCTTTTAAATGAGACACAAAGGTTTTATCTCCATATTCAGAAGTAATGAACCCAATATTTTATATAAAAATGCCTAGTAACATTATCAGTATTAAAATTCATTAGTTTTAACCACGGCAATTTCATTACACAAATAGAAATATATGAAACTGCAAATATAAAAACTGACAGCTAGCCTGTCCTGACAAAAACTGCAACCTTAAATAGTCCTGGAAAATAATTTTTCCATATCCAGAAATGTATATTTGGTGTTTTTCAAAGGTCTCCTAATTTTGAGATGACTGATTTGAAGTTAAGTACTCCAGCAAACCACTGTAAAAATAAATGTATCATTATATGTGCAATGGCATTTAGCACTCTACTGGGTTGAATGGGCTTTTTTTTTTTTTTTTAAAGTAAACAATGAATGATGGCCAAAGCAAACTTTTGCCTTTGAGTAGAATTCTAAGCTTAAGGGAAAAAAATTCATTAATGATGAAGGTATTCTTATTTTTTAATGTTTTTAATTTTTTACAAAGATTTTTAATTAAGTTTCACAGTCACTAAGCAGTTTTTACACTTAGGCTTCATGATTCTCTTGTCTTCTTGCTTTCAAATGGAGTCATCTTCCAAACATGACAAATTTCAGGATCCATCATATAGTTTTTTATTCAAATTATGTTTTCCAAAAGAGAGGATTCTGTGTTAGTCGCCTTTGAAAGTTCTCATACCTAGAAAACAAAAAATGTATTTATATTTACAAGGAAACTGAAATATTTCATAATCTACAAATTTATCAAAAACAATTTACATGTCAATTTCTGAAAAGCTATGCTAAAAAGATAATCTGGAAGCTTAATTCTTATAAACAGATAGCAAGCATAGTGATTCAAGTAAAGAAGCAGCTTTGATTTTATCAGAGAGCACAAATCATAATAAATTTTAGTAATCATTTATCTTCCGCAAATGTGACAGAAAGGTCTAAGAAAAAAATCAAACTGAACAACTCCTCCCTCATTTCAGATAAGCATATGAGAGTAATTTACAGAGTCACATAGTTGCATTGTGAAAAAACTCAAACCTAGTATGTCCAGTGCTCTCCCTTGCTACACCAAGGTACCACGTCTCAGACATCTTCCTAAGGATCCCCCCTCCACCCCGCTACTGGGATATCTAAAGTGAAAAGAAATATCCATAAAACAAAGACATGGCAAGTAGAGAAAACAGACACATTAACTGATCACATTCAGGATGCAGTGTAAACCACCTTGATACCCTACACACGTTTACTTTAAATCAAGACTGACTTCCTATACAAAAAAAAAAAAAAAGCTTTGTCTGATATTTTAATTCCCATATACAGAACTTCTAATTCAAAACATAAAAAAAAATTATGGTCTTTAATAGTGGTCCCTAAAACAAAGGTAATTATATTTTCCTATCTTTATGAGTTCACAGTAGCTACTATATAACAGAATACATAGGGTAAGGACTTTTTCTGATCTGTATTTTATAAGACATACTTAAAGGCATAAAAACATTAATGTAGTCTGATGTCCACAACAAAAGAATATGTTTAAATGTCAATATATATATATACATATACACAGTTACTAAAAGCTTTAGAAACAGGGCTGGCACTGTGGCACAGTGGGTTAATTCTCTGCCTGCAGTGTTGGCACCCCATGTGGACGCCGGTTCTAGTCCCGGCTGCTCCTCTTCCAATCCAGCTCTCTGTTGTGGCCTGGGAAAGCAGAAGATGGCCCAAGTCTTTGGGCCCCTGTTTGGGTCCCTGCACCTGCATGGGAGACGGAGAAGGAGCACGTGGCTCCTGGCTTCAGATCGGCGCAGCTCCAGCCATTGCAGCCATCTGGGGAGTGAACCAATGGAAGGAAGACCTTTCGCTCTGTCTCCCTCTCACTGTAACTCTACCCTCAAATAAATAAATTAAATATTTTTTAAAAAACTAAGAAATAGAAAAAGCTTCATACCATTTCAGAACCACATTTGCTGGAATGAACATTTCAGATGGACTTGGTGTCATCTGGGCCTGAGAGACAGCAAATGATGAAGCAAAATTGTAGAAGTTGTCCAACATTTTTTGTGTGAACTGTAAAGTTAACAATTAGTAGATTAGCAAATACTAAAGACTCCATTTAGGCCTCAATATTTTTAATTAAAAATGTTCTTGTACTAACCTGGTTTTGAAAAGTAAGTTCTAAGGCAGGATAATGATAAAAATTGAGTGTGCCCATACAATGACTTAGTGGTTATATGGTACTTTTTTAAAAAAATATATTTTTTTCCTTACTTTCTTTCATCTCCATGTCTGTAGTCACTATGTCCCCTTCCTCAAGCACCTTTCACCTCAAATCAACCTATTTTCTCAAATAAAAAGTAACCAGAAATCATTTTTCTTGACAGAAAGATAAAGGCTTAAATCTAATTTTTAAAAAAATGGTTACTTCTCATTAATTCTAAATGATCCAAAATAATTAACATTACCCAAATCTCCTTGGTAGAAATTACAAATAAACTGATTTGTATTTCATGAGAACCAATGAGTTTAAGCACTAAACATAAAAGTAAATAACTACTAATTCTACTCACTAAAAATAATCTTCCCGCATCACTTTCTCAAAAATACAAAACCAGACATGAAGGCTACTCTGTCTCTTCTATACATGAGAGGAATTGTCTTATTAGTTTATTTGTTTAATTATATGAAGCCAGTATTAAACCAAGAGACTCTGTTAGCATTAAGGAACTTGAATTAGTATCAGAATTCAATAAGGTCACTAGTTAAAAAATCATTATCAAGAAAAAAAAAATCAATAGCACCTTTTCTTCCAGTAACAATATTTTTTAAATACAAGGTTACTTGAACCAAATAAACTTATCTTTTCTTTCAATTTTTCCAGAATTTTTTGAAGTATCCTCATCTAACTTTAAAAAAATTCAATTCAGAATATAAAGTCTTCCCAATAACAATGAAAAGTGCTAAAGCATGCTGATAAAACTTCCAGTCCAGCTCTCTGCTGTGGCCCAGAGGATGGCCCAAGTGCTGGTGCTTGGGTCCCTGCACCCGCATGGGAGACCAGGAGGAAGTACTCGGCTCCTGGCTTTGGATTGGCGCAGCACTGGCCGTAGTGGCCATTAGCAGAGTGAACCAACGGAAGGAAGACCTTTCTCTCTCTCTCTCTCACTGTCTATAACTCTCTCTCTCTCTCTCTCTCACTGTCTAACTCTGCCTGGCAACAACAACAACAAACTTTTGTGGAAAATATTTTAAGACTGTACTGAGAGAAAGGAAACAACCAGTATGCCAATGGAAAGACTAAGTCACAGATAGAAAGACAATGTGTAAAGGTATCACATTCTCTCCTTATCTATTTACAACAGAATTCCAAATCTAATGATTTGAAATCATGTTTCATATTCAGTAAGGTAACAGAAAATGAAATCCCATCAAGTTTTCTCATGGAAATTGGCAAACTGATGAAATTCTTAGGATGAATACCCACACCTATTTTGAAGAGTAGGAGGAGGAACCTGGCTTAATGCATACTATAACTTACTGGCAAAGGGAACACAAATAAACTTACAGGAATAAAAGAGACATCCAGAAACAAACATAATGAGATATGACAACATGATGATATATAACAAAGACACCATTAATCAAGAAAAGAAAATGGGACTAACAACCTAATTAATGGGACTAGGACAAACAGCTTTCCATAAGGAGAAAAACTCATTTAAGGTCCTTCCTAACTACACACAAACATAATTCAAAAATAAAACCTATGGCTTTATGAACTACAGAGGAACATCTTTGGGGCCAGTGTTGTGGCACAGTGAGTTAATCTGCTGCCTTGCAATGCTGGCATCCCATAAGGGTGCCAGTTTGAGTCCTGGCTGCTCTGCTTCCAATTCAGCTCCCTATCAACAACCTGGGAAAAGATGGTCATTATCACCTGTAGTCAAGAAATACAAACTAAATATGATATACTAGCTTTCACTCATCAATTTGGCAAAAAATTAAGTTAGAAACAACATAGAAAGACACAAACACACACACACAACTAGTACTACACATATCTTCGGGAAACATAGGAATTTTTTTTTTGAATGATAAAATATGGATAGGAAAGAAACATAAAGTTAGAAAAAGAGTGGCCCAGAAAATAAAGGATAGAAGTGGCAGTGATAGGCTATAATGCTTTATTTCTTTTTGAAAAACAAATTGGTAGCAAACATGATATGACAGTTAAATCAAGGTGGAAGGGAGTTGGTGCTGTGGCATAACAAGTAAAGCCACTGCTTGCAGTGCTGGCATCCCATATGGGTGCCAGTTCGAGTCCCAGCTGCTCCATTTCCGATCCAGCTCTCTGCTATGGCCTGGGATAGCAGTAGAAGATGGTCCAAGTCCTTGGGCCCGTGCACTCACATGGGCGACCCAGAAAAATCTCCTGGTTCCTGGCTTCAGATGGGCACAGCTCCAGCCATTGCGGCCAATTCGGGAGTGAACCAGTGGATGGAAGACCTTTCTCTCTCTCTCTCTGCCTCTCCTTCTCTCTCTTTGTAACTCTGACTTTCAAATAAATAAATACATCTTTAAAAAAAAGAACAGATCTTTATTCAACAATAAACATAATATTAAAAAAAATCAAGGTGGAAGACACTAGAAAGTCTTAGTGTATATACCCCACTATAAGAGAGCTCTGTATAGTAACACCTAGTATTACTTTGTCTACCTATTTGTATCTACTTGTGCTTCAAACACGCCATCACAAGCATACAAAAATATTTGTGTAGTATACAAATAATTCTCTGTACTTTCTTTTTATTTAAAATATTTCAAATGGGGCCAACATTGTTGTAAGTGGGTTAAGCCACTGCTTGTGACACCAGCATCCCAAATCAGAGCACCAGTTCAACTCCTGGCTATAATCTACTTCCAATCCAGCCTGGTGCTGTACCTAGGAAGGCGGCAGAAGATGGTTTAATTACTTGGGCCCTTGCCACCTATGTGGGAGACAAGGATGGAGTTCCTGGTCCCTGGGTTTTGATTTGGCCCAGCCCCAGCTGTGCAGCCATTTAGAGAATAAACGGGCAAATAGAAGATCTCTCACTCTCCGTCCTTCCCTCTTGCTCCCACTCTCTGCCTTTCAAGTAAATCAATACAACTCTTACATATTTCAGTACTACAAGATGGCAGAATAGGGAGACAGCATATTATTCTAGTCTAGGGAAGATAGTTGGAAAAAAAAAAAAAAAAAAGTATGGCCGGCGCTGTGGCTCAATAGGCTAGTCCTCTGCCTGCGGAGCCGGCACCCTGGGTTCTGGTCCCAGTTGGGGCACCGGATCCTGTCCCGATTGCTCCTCTTCCAGTCCAGCTCTCTGCTCTGGCCCGGGAGTGCAGTGGAAGATGGCTCAAGTCCTTGGGCCCTGCACCCGCATGGGAGATGGAGAGAGGCACCTGGCTCCTGGCTTTGGATCAGCGTGCTGCGCTAGCCACAGTGGCCATTGGGGGGTGAACCAATGGAAAAGGAAGACTTTTCTCTCTCTCTCTCTGTCCACTCTGCCTGTCAGAATGAAAGAATGAAAGAAAGATAGATTAAAAAAAGTAGAGAGAACAATCTCACAGAAGAAATGCCACACAAAGTAGAGGGACACCACGGACCTTCATGGACAGTGTGGACGGACACAACTCAGGACCCCAGCAGCTGAGAGCCTCAGCATCAGCTTTGGAGAGTGAGGTGAGACCAGACTGCAGCAGCCCAAGCCACTGGTCAAAAAGCTGCGGGAAGGGCCTAATGTGAGTCCAGCTTGGAGCTCAAGCTAAGAGCTCAAGCTAAAGGGAAAAAAATGAGGCACATCTCTCTCTCCCTGAACACCTGGCACTGACATTCTGTAACTAGCCAAGAGAGGGTGAGTGCCAATTTAGACATACGTAACAGCTGTACCAGCTGTGTCCATGCACGCAGCAACTAGTCAAGAGGAGACGCCTGAGTCTGGCTGGGAGTACTGAAAGGGTGCTGGGTGCTCATGAGTGTGGGAGCCTTATGTGTTGGGACTATGAAAACACTGTGGCTACATGGGAGGGTACAGGGTGTGGCTGGGTCTTTGGGCAGTCACTGTGGGTGGCTCCACACAACTGGGGCTCCCTGATTCCCTGGTGAGAGCCATTACTGTGGGATCCATGATCACACCAAGGACTGCACGGATCCATTGTGTAGTTCTTATGGAAGCACAGATGAACACTGTACCCACCGAGGCCAGTGCAAAGGCATTAATCTCCTTTGAAGAGAGGAAGTGAACATGAGACTCTCAAACTGGAGCACTGAACAGAGCTCCCTGACCGCACTCAGCATAAACCTCTGGGAACTCACTGAAAAAGTAGACATTCCACTAAGCCACAGAGGCATAGTCCAAAGATAAAAGCCATCACTGGGGAAAAAAACAAGTATCTAAACAAATGCCTAATAATAAATACAGCAATTAAAGAAATAAGGAAGACAAGATGATGCCCTCAAAAGAACACAACACTTCAACACCAGAATGTGAAGATAAAGAAATTGAAGAAATGCCATATACAGAATTCAAAAAATTGATCATAGGATTACTCAGAAGTAATCAGAAACAAATCCACAAACCAAAGAAATCCATACATGGCATGAATGAAAATTTTCCCATGAAACTGAGATTTTAAAGAGAAACCAAAATGAAATATTGGAAATGAAGAATTATGGTCAGTGCCGTGGCTCACTAGGCTAATCCTCCGCCTTGCGGCGCCAGCACACAGGGTTCTAGTCCTGGTCAGGGCACCGGATTCTTTCCTGGTTGCCCCTCTTCCAGGCCAGCTCTCTGCTATGGGAGTGCAGTGGAGAATGGCCCAAGTCCTTGGGCCCTGCACCCCATGGGAGACCAGGATAAGTACCTGGCTCCTGCCATCAGATCAGCGTGGTGTGCTGGCCACAGCGCACCGGCCGCGGCGGCCATTGGAGGGTGAACCAACGGCAAAGGAAGACCTTTCTCTCTGTCTCTCTCACTGTCCACTTTGCCTGTCAAAAAAAAAAAAAAAAAAAGGAAATGAAGAATTAAAAA